TACTCTTCAACACACTGTGCTACATGGTATTATGTATTTGTTCATATGTTTGTAACAGGCAAAAGCACACGAGATAGTTCCATTGTTACTTTGAAGTCGTAGAATCACTTTATGAGTCTGTCTGTCCAAGTTAAATTGTAAATAGAGTACTTGTCGCATCTATGATCGAGTGATTGAAATTTGGCAAAGCTCACCTATATGGCCCTAAAACTAAACCTATTGAAAGTCGAGAAAATCGGTTACGACTTAGATATACCGCCTATATATATTTTCGTTCGACTCTATGTAAATGGTGGACCAAACTCTCAAGATATGATCGATTAAGAGCAGATTTGCACAGCGTACTAAATTAAGTCAGGACTAAAAATTGTTTTAAATAGGTTCATATTTTCGATATATTACTTCGGATGTAGCTATTATATTACTTTGGATGTAGCTATTACTCCCATATATATTTTCTTCTGATTTTATTAATTCTTTTTGTTTGGACAATGCGCTGCAGTGCAGCATCAAATCGAACCAATTGAAATCACTTATACACGTTGAAACGTTGACGTCTCAAGCCAAACACACCATCAGAAATAGATTTTTCTATCAATAGAAGCACGTTTGGTCTTATATATGTAATTTCGAACCATATAGGGGTCTGAGGATTATTTTTAAAAAACAAATCCAAAAACATTTAAAGGAAAGGAAATAATAGGTGCCCCAATGCAGTATCTGCCTCAAAAAATAATTAAAAATATAATGCTTTTAGAAGATTAATAGAAAAAATTAAAAAAATATAGAAAGTACCTTTGGGGTAGATTCGACATTTTGAAGTGGGGCACATATAATTTCCTTAAAAAATTGTTGGATTTGTATTTAAAAATAATCCATATTGAATATGGTTCAAAATTACATATAAAAGACCAAACGAGCTTCTATAGACGGCGAATTTGACCTTTGTGACAAAACTGTAAAAATATTAAATTAATTCTAATTTATCAATTTTTTTTGGTACAAGTTTTTATAATTAAGTGTCGGAGGACAATTTTTGTGGGAGTTTGAGAGATTTAAAATTCACATTTTAAAAATTTGGATCTCTAGGTTTTCAGTGAGAACACCATGACATTTTTTCAAAATGTGCATGATATTTTCTCATAGACATCAGCAGGTGTTCTCACAAAAGACCCAGCAGGTTTTTCCATGAAAATCAAAAGGGTATTCCTCATGAAGAACAAATAGACCATAGATAATCAATTTCAATCAATCATCAATTTCATAGGATAATTTTCATTTATGATAAAAATGGGTTCTTATAAAGGACCAAATAGTCCTTCTATAAATGACCATAAAGTTTTATTTTTAAATATATTAGATATGTTTCTAAAATACCAATCTATTCTCACTGAAAACTTATAAGTCTTCACCTTAAAACTGCCAAATCTGTTCAAAAGTCCACCAAAAACTTTTTATGAACCAAAAATGGGAAGCTTGGAGCTTTAAGTAAGTATTTTATTGACCTACTTCTTCAACTTCTTTCAAGTATTCAAAAAAGTATATACAAAAATGTTTTGGTTCATGCATGGACGTGATTAGACTTCTCGCCATCACTGTATGATGTCTTTAATACAAGTATGCATCCACCAGTTATTGTTTTATTGACATTGGCTTGTGATTTCCATGAGAAAACCCCCAAAAAAGTTTGTTTACATTTTTTTCCTCTCAACTACCAACCGGCGCATTCTTTTTGGTCGTAGATCACACATGTTGGTCTAGACGATAACTGAGATGTATAGACAAATTGTCAAGTTGACGCCAAGCCATAACACTTGTTTAACAGCAAAGAATAAGCTGCTGTGCTTTTACTTAAAACTTGAATGGGGCTTTTTGCGCTTTTTTTGTAGATACTTTAGTTGTTGTTGTTGCTGTTCTTGTGTGTTACAACTCGGACTGTGGTCAAGCCAAGTTGTGGCTAATTTGCACTAAAGCCGAGTTTACAACACCGACTAAGAAACACAACGAACAGAAAAAAAGCACGACAAGAATTGTTGAGCAGCAGCAAACGAGAACAACAACTGCCGGTGTCAGGGTTCGTAAGTCCGATCAATTGAATGAATGCTATTCGTGGAGAGTATATCAACTGCAGAAGCAGCAGCATAAGCCCGAGTGGTTGCTTTGTTGTTGTTGGGCTGCTGTTGTTATTTGCCGAAATTGAGACGCTAGTAGAAAAAATAGCAACAAATCTCGGCTTAAATAGTAACCGACCGGTTGTCTCGACAAAGTCTATATAAAAGGGTTAGTCGCATTGTGCGAGATAAACATTGATTTTTAAAAACTCGCGCTGTCTAGAAGTGTGGAGAGTACAAGTACAGAAAAAACCGGGCCGATTCAATGTGGGTACTCCAACTCCTGCTGATGCGAACGATGCAAGAGCAATAGAATTTTGATTATAGAAAATAAAAATAAATAAAGAAGAAACAGATATGTAATTTTTTTGATATATAAAATAAAAATAAATGAATAAGGAAAAATAAGTGAACTTTGATTAAAAAAATAAATCTATGAAGAATGAAATAAAAATAAATAAAAAATAAAACTATAAATAATAAACAAATATAAAATTATATGAAATAAATATTAAATAAAAATAACAAAAAATACAAATTTATTTTAAACAAAGATTAAAAAATTAAAATTAAATAAAATAAAAATCTATAAAAAATATAAAAAAATAATAAATTAAATATTAAATAAAAATTTTATACTTTTTTTAAAAAAGTGTTTTTTTTTTTTTTAATTTGTGTGATTTATGTCTACCTAAGAATTTATCAACGAATTTCAAAACCCATCAACAACAATAACAACTCATCAAGATGAAGCTATTTACAACATCAACAAAAACTGCAAGTAAGTTTGCATTTTCAATTAGTCTTCCTGTTATTAGCAATATTCGAAAAAAAACTACTATAACAACAAATTGTAAATTTATAAAAATGTCAAAAAGAGACAAAACAAATCTACGAGGTGTTAAAACGTTTAATCACAATTGACAAATGATGTTTTATTGGTGTTTAATTTTTGTTTTTTTTTTTTGTCAGACAATTGTTACTCTGTTTTTTTCGGATGGTGTTTGAGTGAGTGAGTGTGTGTGTATGTGTGAGTTTCGAAAAGATTGAAAGTAAAAATTTCATTGTTTACATTTCCCAATAATACAACGAATATCTTCCGTTACGATTAAGGTCAGCTGTGTGGGAATTTTATTGAAAAAATCAAATATGTTTGTAAGTGTGGAGGTACCTTGAGGAATTTAACGCCTCAAAATTATTAATATCAAAAAATAATAAAATATTGATTTTGACTTAGAATTTATGTGGTCAAAATGATTCGCATAAAATTATTTTCCTTAACAGCTTAATTACATGTTTTTACATTCGAAATACAAAAAAGAAAAAAAACAACAGTGTAATAAAATTTGAAATAATAAAATATTGTTGCTTTGCCATTGACATTTACGATTAGTTAATATTATTAATGTGAATAGTTGTTTTTTTTTGTTCTGCGAAATTTATGCTCTTCATATGTCCATCACATGAAAGTTACTAGGAAATTATGATGTATTATCGAGTGATTAAATCGAATGATAGGCAAATAATAAAAAAGGAAATAGAGGAAAAAAACTTTACTACCGTTTTTAATTAATTCCGTTTAACGGATATGGGTGGCAAGCAACTTAAGTAAATCCCCCATTTAATTTTGGATTATTTATGGGATGTTGTAGAACGGAAGATTTATTCTAGTTTAGGAAATGAGAATTTTAGTGAAAAGATTAAAAGCGCTTACAGTTGGGATACGAATTTGGAAGGAGATTTGTATATAATATCAAGCATTATAAAATTGATTTCTATGAGATTAAGGACACATCTCCTCATTCAATATAGAATAAAGGGTTTCTTTTAAATTTATTAATTATTTTATAATTATTTTTATTTTTAAGAAAAGTGAAGTGAAAATGGTTCTACATTTTCTTATAAAGTTCTTTAAAATATATAGTGGATTTCTATGAAAATAAGAACATGTCTGCTACTTTCCTTTAGGTTGAAGAATTTATAAGTTAATGAAATTAAATTAAATTGAAAATATTATGGACTACATTTATTTAATTTGAACAAATAAATATTTTGTGAAAATTTGTAGAAGATTTTAGAAACCTGAAACAAAATTTTGGAGAACTTTTTTTTTAAATATTTCCTAGAAATTTTGGAATAAGAGTAAAATTAAATGTATTATTAATCAATAGAATTAACTACATTTACAGCTATTAAGGACATCAGGTATCAGACATTAAGGATATTAGGTATAGCTGCCAGATAAGTTTTTATAAATTTAACAATATTTTGGGGTTATAATTTTTTCCGATTATTTTTTTAATTAAATACATTAAGGATACATATGGGCCTAAGGCCTTTTTATATACATAAGTGTAATTTCGATAATAAAAATACGGAAATATTTAAACCAGAGTATAATCGGACACACCTACCACCGAACTTCATTTTTCTGTATATCTATATTCCGATCCTGGGCGATACTTCGCGATATTGGCACCCTCTTAATCGATTTGATATCAACTGCTCCTCCTTCATACACTGGCATATTTTCCGAATCATGTTTGTTCTATATCTATAGTAAACATTTACTCCAATCAATTCAAATTTGTTTTTTTTGCGCAAAAAAAAATCTTGGTTCATATGACCCTAAATAAACAGTTGGCCATATGTTTTTCCCGTGTAAAATTTGTGATGTTCGGCTTACATTAGTAGCAAAACCATACAGAAAACGTATTTGGTCCATTCCATCCCCAAAATATCATCTGATCATCATTGAAATTTGTAGGTGTCGTCCTTGATCATAACCAGAACCTCATATAACATTTCATAGGGACCCACGCGGGAATTTCGCATTCTAGTGTGGTAATCGTAATACTAACCAAATAAATATACGTAGACACCTGTAAAAATCTTCGTATAACTCTCACATCCTAGTACATTCAACAATATAATTTAAAAATCAACCACTCGTCTTGGATTTACCATGAAATTAATACTCCTTCAGGAGTAATACAAATACAAATGCTGTAATTTTCATACAAAAATCTCGGGTCATTTTACGCGTTTAATACTGTCGGATCTTCATCAAAACAACCATGATTATTTTACGGTCAGTGTAAAGACAAAAATAATGTTTTTGGTGCATTTCTTCCCACAATTCTTTGGTCAGAACTCGTTCTACATGCAACATTTTGTGGCGATTGTTCTACACTGTGGCCTATTTCGTGATTACAAATTATAATGGATAGACGGAAGTGTATTTCGGGATCAACTCAGCTAGACGAGCTGAGTTGAGTAGGGCCCATTTTTTCGAGGCTTTACAAGTTCTTAGAGCCATACAAAGCTATAGGGTATACAAAGTAAAAAGGGGCATTGTGGTATTGGAAACCAAAGTATTGACAATAATAGCATATTATATTTTTATTTCTTTTAATCAGATCCATTTCTAGTTTTCCTACTTTTTTAAGAGACCTTGAAAAATTCCACTCATATTATCTACTATCTATTATCCTTAACCTGGGATTTTTACTCCAACATTCGCTTGAATGGTTGAGCTATATATGAATATTTATCACATCAATAGAATTTGATATTAGATAAATAAATAAAACAATCAATTTCAAGCGAATGGAATTTTCGATATGATCCCAACATTGCAAATCGTAAATTTTCTTTTAAAAGTAAATCAAGTTCGAAAATGGAAAATATCTGGCAACTCCTTCTGGTACCTTCCTCATAAAGGAGAAATTTCATTCGAAGCAAATGGACCCCCATCGTTCTACTCCTTCTGATACCTTCCCCCATAAGGGAAAAGTAACCGTTAAACCACTAATATTTTAGCATTAAATCTGAATATTGTGGTTTATAGGGCAACTTCTTCTGGTACCTCTACACAAATGGCCAACTATTTGATAAAAAACATATTCCTTATACAAAATAGATCCAAAGAGAGTTCAAAGTACTAAATTATTGTGAATTTGGTTTTCAAACTCCCCAATATACTAACATGTTGGAGTATAAATGGACCACTTTTAATAATTTCACTAATTTGGTCAATTTGGTCAAAAATCTTGCCCAAACCCCCACAATAACAAATGCCAAATTAAAAAGCTCTATCATACATTTTACCAGCTCGTGATTCTAACAGAAGGGTCGATAAATAGACGGACATGCCTTAATCGACATAAAATTTAATACTCAATTAGAATTTCTGATCAAGTGGGGTCTTTGGTAAATATTTCCGTGAACAAACTTAATGAACATTTTAATATGCACTCCCCCTTATGGCGGATTCTTTACTGATACAGGTAGCAATTGATTTTAAAATCGATATATGATTGGTGTAGTAAGCTCCTTATTTTCTTGAACCGTAAACTAAAGCTATAAACATTGCTAATCACAGGAAATAATTTTTGTACTTAACAGCTAGGTGAATTACAGCTCTATTATAAGAGACTGAATCGTCTTTCAATTTTAGCTTGATCGTAAATTCACGTATTTTCATCTTGATCAATGTGAGATTCTGAATTGAAATATTTCCGTCCGCCTATTGAAGCTACGATATAATATTACTAATTGATATTATTTCTAGGATGTGAGGCAAAGGGATATATTTCCCCATTGTATCGATAAATTATTTCCTTTTAAATACAACTAATGGAACTTACTATAAATTGCCTGTAATATTAAAATTTTTTGAGTAATAAATTTTTATAATACTAGGTTTTTAATATTTTCAAAATTAATATTTTAAATGGATTTTTGGATTGAGTAAGATACTGAGAATTTCGGTATAAATAAAATTTTAACTTTATTTCCCTGTAATTTGTATTGAAATATGAGGTTTTCTGTTGGATGATAAGGGTACTGCTGGTGCTGACGAAATAGTCCATAGGACTGCTCAAACCTTCGTTCCACATGTTCATGATCTAGGAGTGTGGTCCGACATAATTGAAATTGATTTTTTTTAATTCCAATACGAATAGAATTATTTCATATTCCCAATTCAAGATCTCAATGTTGTGACATTTATAGATGATTAAAAAATGTACATGATTTTCATTTTATTAAAACACCTTAAAATAACATTTATTTTTAATATTTTAAAAATTACCCTTTTTATGTATAATAATATTAAATGCAACAAAAAACGATATGACCTTCATATTAATTTTTTAAATATTCATGTTGATAGTGTTAACGCTACTATGAATGATGCCAATCTTTATCAGAGCTCAAACAGTAGTGTTTGGTGTTATTGGTTGCTTATAACACACATATTTTTTGTTTATTTGTTTGAATAATTTATGAACATATAAGTAAGGCAAAAAGAAAAAAAGTATCGAAAAAGAAGAAGAACAATTTTGTTTGTTTACATATTAAAATTAATAACAATTTTTTGATGATGATGGCGATGACAAGCAAAGTAAAGTGTTGGAAAAAGTTATGGCAGCATAATTGGGTGGAAATTCGAAGAACAAAATTATGGGGCATAAAAATGCTAAATTTCCGCTAGGATCCTTAACCCTTTGTGGCCCGATTTTTTTTCCATAATCATAGAAAATATTTCTGTTCACAGATTTAATGCAACTATCCTAAATAGAATATGAACAACATTTGACATTGCTTTCTGGAAAATAAAAGTCCAATATCAAGATAACCAAAGGCAAAATCGAAGGAAAAATCATTTTAAATTATTGTCTATGTTGGCAGAATTCGTACAATTCGAATACGAATACTGTACTGTACCTGATTATCTTTTGATAATCAGGTCTTGACCTATGGAATCCAAAGAATATA